GGTCTAGGCCCGAAACGTCAGCCTTCCTGCTCCTCTGATGCTGCTTGGCCTGCTGTGTTCATCCAGTTCTACACCTTGTTATCCTTAATACGAGTGCTGTTGCTTTATCCAAGTCTTCCTATCTATTCATAGAATGTCAACAGCATTGATCTCTCTGATCCTTCATACTATATTACCCTTGACTTCTTTAATCATATACCATGGACCCTTCCTCTTCGTTTTCTATGCCTTGATCCTTGGTGACATCATTGAAAGATGCAGTAGCTGTTTGCTGACAACACTTAGCTCTCTAGCTCTCATCATGTCTCTCAGCCCTTCCAATGCCTCGATCTTTAGTCTATTTACTGACAGCTGGCTGTCCTGCAATTTGCTCCAGTTGAACTATGTGAAGTCTGATTTTGGGCCCATCATAAACTCCATTTCTTTGCCCCCAACTCAATTCCCCTTTCACTCAATGTTTTAGACATTGCAATTGCCATTCCAATTGGCCTCAAGTTGAGGTTTCCATCTCAAGGATTTGATTTTAAGAACACAGTAAATTTCCTCCCGGCTCACAAGGAACCAAATAACATACTAAAACTTATCCTTCCCTTTGAGTCTCTCCCAATGGATTTGGCCTGGTAAAGGTGGTATTGCAGCTCTCTCTGTGTAGACCTTAGATTAAAATTGCAAGTTTGGTGCCAGTTCCATTATTGGCTTATTTAATGTGAATACCACTGGCTTAGGGCAGATAGCTTTGCTGCCTGCAATTTATAGTTGCAGTCAATAGAAATGGAGTGGGTAGCTCACAGCTTCAACTGGATATGTCTCATCAAAATTATCATGGGATCCTGCATTCTTTCAGACTGACCTCTTGCATTGCATAGAACTGTCATGGTGCAGCAGGAATTTATTCAGTTCATCATGTCTAGGAACACAGGAACAGAGGTAGTCCATTGAGCTCCATTCAGTCCATTGAGCATGCCCTGCCATTCAACATGATAATGACTGATCAAATGCATCAATGCATTACCATTACCCTGAATGCCACTTATAATCAGAAATCTATTAATTTCTAATTAAACGTAGTTAAAGACTGAATCTCCACAGACATCTGTAGTAGAGAATTTCAAAGATTCTCAAACTCATGAATAAAAATATTTCTCCTCATCTTGGACCTAAGAAACACACTTCTTATTTTTAAATTGTGCCCCCAATTCTAAATTCCCCCACCAGGGGAAACATCTTAACTGCATCTACCCTGTCCGTCCTTTAAGTATTTTGTAACATTCAATGAGATCTACTCGCATTCTTCAAAACTCTAAAGAAAACAGACTCAAGTTTGCCAAAATCTCTTCATAGGTCAGTGCTGCCAGTCCAGGAGCAAGTCTGGTGACCCTTTGTCGTGCTCCCTCTGTGGTTATAATGTCTCTTCTGAGATAAGGAGTGTGAAAAATGCACACAGCACTTCATGTTCAGCTAAATCAAGCTCCTATACAATTGAAGCAAGATTGTATTACTGTACTCAAAACCTCTTATGATAAAGAGTCATGCTCTGTTGGCCTTACTAATAACTTGCTGCATTTTATTTTAATTCAGGGAAAACAGACATTGCTGGCTGAGGCAGCATTTATCGCCCATCCCTAATTGCCCCTGAAAAAGAGGTGGTGATGATGTAACTCGGCC